TTGTGTTTGAGGTCTTAATTACTGTTAAAACACCATGTATAGTTACCCCGACTGTCATCTTATTCTTTAATGATATTAAATCACCGTTAGTATGTTTGTCTTTTGCAGTTGTCCATCGAATAAATTACTAAACAAACATTGTAAATTCATTGATGTAGTTCAGACTTAGTTTTAATTATATGGTGACAATGCAGAATGAACTTATATGACATCTGCTCTGGATATATCTGATTTCTCAGACATGATTCGTGGTTTTCTTATATTTTTTCTTGTCTATTGAAACTGAAATAAAATATATATGCATGTAGTTTTCTTATCAAGAATCAAGACAAATAGAATGATTCAACTTCTAGTGACTTTGTTAGTCTTCTTGTTGTGTATATGAATAGAGATACTTATGGGCGTGGAGGGTGGGGGGGGGGGGGGCGTATATCAAGAAAATGCATATTTTGATACGGTTAACCGGTTAATCGGTCGGAACATCTTGCGGTTAACCGATTAGCAATTCTGTATTCGATTGCCATCTCTACTATTTACAAATACATATTGTGAGCAAACAATGATCTCTAAAAACGTAGGAGGGATCCGGTGCCATGAAGAATTACACATCCCCTGTTTACTGGTCACAACCGCCGAGTGCTCCTTGTCATGATCGGGTAAAGGTAAAAATCCGTGGACAATTCAGTTTGAAAATACTAGCCTAATAATTTGTACGAAAAACCAGTTGATATCCTTGTACCATTCACTCATTTCATTTCTCAATAGCCTGCCTCGTTTTAGAAATAGTTTGCATGCTCTTGCGTATCTAATCAACTGGGAGACAAACTTCATTTCCAGGTGATAATGATTTATTGCTATATAAATATGGGAAGATGACGATAGAGAAAGTTAATATCATGTATATCATAACGTTTAGTTGTACATGTAAGTTAGCCACAAATGTCTTTTCCTAGTAAAATCAATCAGATATGTCTGATCCTGTTTTACATGTATATATTATTTCAAATTAAATTGGATCTATCAAATTATATCAGGAATAAATTTAGTATTGTCAATTGATAAAAAAACGTCGTCGATATATCTTAATGTCGAATTAGAGGTCACAGCAAGAGACTTCATGTAGAGGTTTTTGAATAAATTCTGCTTTATATGAATATATACAAAAACAGGTCTGCTAATAACGGGCACAGTTATACCCATGAGATCATTTTGAGGACCTGGTCTCCTAAAACTACATAAATAAATACTGTCAATGAGAAATTCGTACAGCTTTTAGTTATTAAGCTTGAAAAAAGACCTTTTCATTCCATATATATTCACATGTAAATCTCTGACCACCTACTGTAGCCCTACCTTACCCACGACTCAATGATTTGAATAATCTCCACTTTCTAATGATGCTTGTAAACTAATATGACTGACCATTGCCTTGCTGTTCTTTAGAACATTTGAATTTCTTTTTTTCAGGATTTTGATACAAATGTATCATCCCCTATTAATACTCCCGCCCTATCCCAGAGACCATGATTGAACAAACTTGGATCTACCAGAGTATGTTATCTGAAGATGTTTTCATGAAACATGACTTCTTCAGCAGAAAATTTTTAAAGATTTTTTTTCCAATATATTCCTTTGTAAAAATTTGATCCCCAATTGTGACCCGCCCCTACACCCGGAGGTCATGATTTGTACAAACCTGATTCTACACTACCTGAGAATGCTTCCATATAAATATGACTAAACATGGCTTTTCTGTTCTTGAGAAGATTTTTTTTCTATATATTACTATGTAAAACTTTTATCCCCCATTGTGGCCCCACCCTTCCCCAAGGGGTCATCATTTAAAAAAAATTAAATTTACATTATGTAAAAAAGATTTCCTGTAAGTTTCAACTTTTTTGCGCAGTGGTTCTTGAGAAGATTTTTAAAACATGCCACCAAATTTTCACTATTTCTGAATTATCTCCCCTTGAATGGGGACTTTGCCCTTTATTTGTACAATCTAAAATCCCCTTTACTCAAGGATGCTTTGTGGTGAGTTTGGTTGAAATTGGCATAGTGGTTCTGTAGAAGAAGTCGAAAATGTTAAAAGTTTACAGAGGGACATACAGAGAGCTAGACGGACAGATGGACTACAGACAACATGTGATCAGAAAAGCTTACTCGAGCTATCAGCTCAGATGAGGTAAAAACTATATTATTACATATATTTTTCCAATATTATTGAAAACGGTCAAGTTTATATAAATGTTTTTCAAACTTCTTCTCTTATCTACCAAATGTCCTTCCCGCTTTAAATATTTGAAATTACTTTATATTCTTTTAACATGCTAATGAAGATTATCTTAATGTATAGCCTGAATTTGAATATCTTATAATGTCATATTTACGATATATAGACGTTTGCAATACATATCTGTAAAAACAAATATATTGCATGTACGATTCTATCCAAATCATATTTTCGCCTTCCCGAAGTAAAAGTTTGAATCTCTGGGAATCTGACGCTTTATTTAAGGATTGTTTTCATCAACATAAAACAATACATATAATTTATATCATAAAATATCGAACCCTGAAACAATATTACAGCAGACCAAGTTCTAGAAAACTGTGATTGTGGTTATAGATTGTGATTGTAGAATCCTATAGATTATAAAAAGGTATGATAAGGTTTGACAATTTCCGCGTTTCATTTAAATCGAAGTAGCAGTAATGGCCACGTTCTACTCCCGGGGGTCATGATTTAAACAAACTTGAATCTACATTTTGTACACTACGCCAGGACGCTTTCACACAATTTTCATTTTTTCTAGCCAAGTGGTTCTTGAGAAGAAGATTTTAAAATACCCAACCCAATTTTTACATTTTCTTGATTATCTCCCCTTCATATTAACAAACTTATATCCCCTTTACCCAAGGAGACTCTGTGCCAAGTTTGGTTGAAATTTTTCCTAGTGGTTCTGGAGACGAAGATGAAGTAAAATTTTAAACGACGACAACGACAGACAACCAACAAATTTTGATCAGAAAATCATAAGTTTTTACTTAAGATAAAAATATGTCGTAAGATTTTTTTGTGAAAAGATCTAATGAATTTTACTTCTGCATATCTAAATTGTATGACCGGTCAACTGGGGATGTCCACTCCTTCTACTCTAGGCACCTGATCCCACCTCTGGAATTTCGAGTGGTCCGTGTTTTATGCCCTTTTTAAATATTTGTATTGTTTGTGGAATTTTTTTTAGATCGATCACTGTTATCTTCACCTTTTTCATTTATTCTTGTAGTTCTTGCATGGTGAAAACATAGGTAATCAAAGATTACGAAGCTCACCTCGACGAATGTTATCTTTAAGTAAGGCAAATTTCACATATTTCTTTTTATTTAGTGTACATCCCAAGATCAATGTCCATGCAAGTTTGGTTTAAGTACAACTTATAGTTACTTGGAAATAGACCTGTTCAAAAAACGTTTATCCTGTTTACTAATCAAGAAAATTTTGGTCAGTTCCAACATCCAAAGTAAGTCTGGAATTTTTCATCCTTAGATGCACCATCTATGCAAGTTTAATCATAACAGGCCATAATGTTATATAGCTACTCCAAAAAAATTATCCTGGTCACTCATCTGGAAAATGTAGGTCAGATTCAGAATCCAAAGCAAGTCTGGAAGTGAGCTAGCTACATCATCCATGCTAATTTGGTTAAAATATGGCTAAAATTCACTCATGTGGAAAATCTAGGTCGAATCCAGCATCCGAAGCAAGTGTGGTAGTGTCCATCCCTAGATGCATCATCCATGCAAGTTTGTTCAAGGTAGAGCATATAGTTACTTGGGAATGGACCTGCTCCAAAAACTTTAACCTGGTCACTCATCTGATCCAGCATCCGAAGCAAGTGTGGTATAGTGCCCATCCCTAGATGCGTCATCCATGCAAGTTTGGTCCAGGTAGGGTTTATAGTTACTTGGGAATGGACCTGCTCCAAAAACTATAACCTGGTCACTCATCTGGAAAATCTAGGTCGGATCCAGCATCCGAAGCAAGTGTGGTAGTGTCCATCCCTAGATGCATCATCTATGCAAGTTTGGTCCAAGTAGGGCTCATAGTTACTTGGGTATGGACCTGCTCCAAAAACTTTAACCTGGTCACTCATCTGGAAAATCTAGGTCAGATCCAGCATCCGAAGCAAGTGTGGTAGTGTCCATCCCTAGGTTTATCATCCATGCAAGTTTGGTCCAGGTAGGGTTTATAGTTACTTGGGAATGGACCTGCTCCAAAAACTTTAACCTGGTCACTCATCTGGAAAATCTAGGTCAGATTCAGCATCCGAAGCAAGTGTGGTAGTGTCCATCCCTAGATGCATCATCCATGCAAGTTTGGTCCAGGTAGGGCTTATAGTTACTTGGGAATGGACTTGCTCCTAAAACTTTAACCGGGACGACGACGCTAACGCCGACACCGACGCCAGGGGTATAGCATAAGCTCATCTCGACTTCGTCGAGGTGAGCTAAAAATGAATAACCAGTACTCATGGATGCTTTGCGGCAGGTTCAGTTGAATCTGTTCCGTGCATTCTAAGGAAATTTTAAATGTTTATAGTTTCTGAACAACATAGAACAGACAAAATTGATATCAATAGGTTTTATTCACTTTCGTGATATACATGTTTAAAGTCTGTCAAATCTAGTGCATTGTATGCTTTTTTTTATAAATACTTCCATAAACATGATTAATATACAGAAATTCTTAAGAAACAAATTCAAAGTGTTCTATTGAAGAGCAACTAAAACAATCCTGGACTTAAACAATTTAGACACCAGATAAAAAGATTTAAGTACCTCTAACTTGATAAATTCAAAAAAAATAAAAACAATCAGAATACATATATACGTTAAAATACAGAATAATAAAGGTAATAATTGAATATAGATTAATTCAACAGTGACACAGATCACAATTTAAAGATTTTTACATGATGGTGCCATCGTGTGATTTTTTTTCAAAGTAAATTTTTTTCAGCAAAAGTGACAAACATCTTATCTATCTGGTTTTCAGCAATATAAATCACCTGATGACTATTCTGTTTTTCTCACTGAATTTTTTTTCCATACATATCACATTAATGAGGTTCGTCACCCATCTCAGTACGTAGCTTGATTTAATAAAACCCTCCAACACGTAACATTTACTCAAAGTCCCTCCCACACGTAACATTTACTCAAAGTCCCTCCCACATATATGTCAGATTTATACAAAGTCCCTCCCACAAATGTAACATTTATAATGTTTATCCAAAGTCCCTCCCACCTACATGTATGTACAATTTATCCAAAGTCCCTCCCACCTATGTCAGATTTATCCAAAGTCCCTCCCACCTATGTCAGGTTTATCTAAAGTCCATCTCACAAATCTCACATTTATCCAAAGTCCTTCTCACATAAGTAACATTTATCCAAAGTCCCTCCCATATATGTCAGATTTAACCAAAGTCCCTCCAACAAATGTCACAATTGTCCAAAATCCCTCCCACAAATGTCACATTTATCCAAAGTCCGCTACTGTGTCTTGCAATTGGAATGTTTTATGGCTGACTATATGCCCCCTCCTGTTTAATAAAATTTGGTGTTTGAATAGAAAAAAATGTCATTTACACTATATCTAGATTGTTCTTTTCAAATATACTTATAAAATCTGATTTTTTATTTCTAAAAATTCTCTGACACAGATAACATCTTATAACCTGTATGTCCTCATGTGCATCCGCAATTGTCTTGATTGGCTGAATGTCATTCCACATACATACATACATCATCATATTAATAAGGTTCATCAGCATTAGGAATCTTACTGTCTGTATAAGGTATTTAAACAGTTGAATGTAGTCCCAAACACATTAAATTTTTAAGGTTTTTCACCTCATGTGTTTCTTTAAAGTCACTGATACAGAGAATGCCTTCCCACATACATCCCATTCCTAACGTTTGTCACCTGAGTGTATCCTCATGTGTACCCGTAAGTTACTGGATCGGTTAAATGCCTTCCCACATACATAACATTTATAAGGTTTCTCACCTGTATGTATCAGCATGTGAGTCTGTAAATTACCTAATTGTTTGAATGCCCTTTCACACACATCACATTTATAAATGTTCTCACCTGTGTGTGTCCTCATGTGTTTATTTAAATCCGATTTTTCACAAAATGCTCTCTGACACAAACCACATATATAAGGTCTGTCACCTGTATGTGTCCTAATATGCCTACGGAAGTTACTAAAATGCTGGAATGATTTTCCACATACATCACATATATGAGGTTTATCACCTGTATGTGTCCGTATGTGTGTCTGTAAGTTACCAGACTGGCTGAATGCCTTCCCACACACATCACATTTAAAAGGTTTATCACCTGTGTGTATTCTAACATGAATCTGTAAGGTACCTGATCTTTTGAATGTCTTCCCACACACATCACATTTATTAGGATTATCACTTGTATGCATCCTAATGTGTCTTTGAAAGTAATATGAATGTTTGAAAATTTTCCCGCAGATGCTACATTCATGGGACTTTTTACTTACACGAGTACTGATGTGGATTTTTAAATTTTCTGTTTGATTGTCATAAGAGCTATAGTTGTTTAACTCTCCAGCATTGCTTTCAGTATGTGAAATGGCTGAAAAAGCTGCCTTTTCATACACATCATATTTATAAGGTTTATCACCTGTATGTATCCTCTTGTGTGCCTGTAATTTACGTAATTCAGAGAATGCCTTCTCACACACATCACATTCATAAGGTTTTTCACCCGTGTGTATCCTTGTGTGTACTTGTAAGTTCTCTACTCGGTTGAATACCTTACAACACACATCACATTGAAATGGTTTATCACCTGTATGTATCCTCATGTGTCTCTTTAAGTGATGTGAATGACTGAATGCCTTACCACACTCATCACATTTATAAGGTTTATCACCTGTATGTGTCCTCATGTGTCTCCGTAACTCACGTGGACGAGTAAATGTTTTCCCGCAGATGTCACATTCATGGGGCTTTTTACTTGCACGAGTATTGTTATGTCCTTCGATATTCTCCAGTTGATTTTCATTTTCGCTATAGTTGTTTAACTTTTCAGCATGACTTTGACTTTGTGATCTGGATGCAAAATCTGCCTTTTCTTTCTGTAAAGGTGACAAAGAATCAGTTTTAATGCTATATCAAATTACTTGTCTAGTGATATTAAAGATAAATAACACAAAATTTCACAGAAATAGAAATTCATAGAATGGAGAAAACTAGAATTCTACATCTATGAATCAATTGTTTGTAAATGTGAGCATGGAAATAGTATACAATTAATTACCCCTTATGTAGGGCTGTCACGAGTACCCGAAATAACCGAGAACCGCGGTCCAAGTTGTTCGGTTCGGTTCCGGTTCCATTTTTCCAGATTTCGGTTCGGGTCTGGTTTATATATTAGAGTCTGTTCAATACAAAAAATGGCGTCGAAATCAAAGGAATGATGACGATAACAGTGATAAATAAACATCACAACTGAAATCTACTTCATTCCATGACAAAACACCTGTCACGGAAGTATTAGATAATTATCAAAACGAACAGAAATGGTCAGGTTGTGGCTAATAGTAGGCCAAGTCACCGATGTCTAGACGTTCGCATGGTTAAGACTTGTTTCCAATGTAAATTTTATGTAACAAATTAAGATTTTTCAAGTTAAATTCATGAAATTAAGGTTTAAAATAGATGTAAATACCCGACCCGAAAAACCCGAAACCGAACCGAAAATTTACAGAACCGACCCGACCCGAAAAATTTTGGAACCGTGACAGCCCTACCCTTATGAGGTCAACATGGTGAAATAAGGACCCGAGACCTGGCCCAAGAGGTGACCTGACCTGTACGCTGCCTCGGTCAGGTCAGGTCACCTCTTTGGCCAGGTCTCGGGTCCTCATTTCTATTTTGTCCTATATATTTCAATGTAAAACTTTGATTCCCTACTGTAGCCCCACCCTTGCCCTGGGAGTCATGATTTGAACAATTTAGAATCTACCCCAGGATGCTTCCATATAAGTTTCAGATATTTTGGCACTGTGGTAATTGAGAAGAATATTTTTAAAGATTTTCCCTATATATTTCAGTGTAAAAATATTGTGGCCTAACCCTACACCTGGAGGTCATAATTTGAACAATTTAGAAACCACGCTACCCCAAGATGCTTCCATATAAGTTTCAGCTTTTCTGGCCCAATGGTTCTTGAGAAGAAGATTTTTTAATGACCCCACCCTATTTTTGTCACATCTTGATTGTCTTTCCTTGTAAGGGGGATTGCCCCTTCCTTTTAATAATTTAAACTCCCCTTCATACAAGGATGCTTTGTACCAACTTTGGTTAGAATTGGCCCAGTAGTTCTTAAGAAGAAGTTGAAAATGTGAGAAGTTTACAGACTGACGGACAGACAGATGGACAACACACAACAGGTGATCAGTAAAGCTCTCTTAAAGCGACAGTACGGCTGCAAAATGTGTGCTTTTTCATCCAAATTTACCCAATATGTCATTAAGAAATAAGGTATAAAGTTGATGTAAGCAGTTTGAGAAACAGAAATATTCTCTACACAAACAAAATTAACGTAATTAGAATCTGCCGGAAAATCAAGGGTCGTACGAACTGGAGCAATATTTGTACACGTGAATTCCAAAACGGCACGTGCCTACACTGTAGAGTTTACAGTTATAATGAATATTAGGTGAAAGCAATTTTCAAAAACACAAATTATCATAACTTTCTAATAAAATAATCTAAAATAATAATCGTAAAGATTTTAGTCTGTATTCAGGCGAATTTAACAGAATTAAAAGTACAAATGTTGACGTTTTGTGTATTGGGGTCCGAGAAAGGAAAAACCAACTAATCATACGTTATCGCGGCAAATGTCAAACAAAATATTTTTCTGCATAGTTAAAAAAAATAGCATTTCAAATGGCAACAATGTTTATAAGTCAAAGATGTATTTTTTATGTTGAGTTTACACTATTTTTTTTTTCTTTGAAAGCGACGGAAAAATGAGAAATGATAACAAGTATCAACAAACCTATCGAATAGAACCTTCGAGAGCCCTGCTTGAGTGTCGCCGAGTTCCCGTTTCTTCCTTATCCAGCGATTTTATTAATCCCCAAACTAAGTTTTAGTCAGGAAAGTTGCTTTTTCAAGTTCTATTTTCAGTTTCTTTTTATTTTTAGTTGACTTTGTCAATGTAGCAGGCCTACCGGGATTCCCTCTCTAACCATGCCGTCTTGTTTATGAAAACTACGCATGCGTGCAAAGCATGGAATGTGGAACCTCGAACACATTGCGATGTATATATTTACGTCCCATAAATAGCTATTAATTTTAATGAAATAATCCAAATTATTTAATTGTAAAAGTTGTAATTTTCTGAAAGTTTATACATTTATGAGTAGTAAAAAAATTCCAAATCTTGTCGGAAAATTTTATCTGGTCAGTTTTTAGATGAGATGCGCCGTACTGTCACTTTAAGCTTTCAGCTCAGGTGAGCTAAAAACGTACTTGATTAAGTGTCTCAAAAACACATTATTAAGCACATACTTATTTTGAGGTTTTACAAAAAAACATAGATCATATCTTCATTCAGAATTCTCATTGTTTTTTTTATTTCTGAATCAGAGATTTCCAAAAAAAATATATTTTTCATGCAATTCCATGACATTCTATGGAACTCCAAATGTTTTCTTATTTTTATTCAAGCAATGATCCACCCCTTCTCAAGGCTAATTTGGAATTACATGACTTTTCAAAACAAGAGGCCCACAGGCCTTTTAGGTCACCTGAGTATCATGCAACAACTTTGCCACAATTGGGTTCATGTTTTAAACCAGAGGCCATGAAATTCACAATTTCGAAAGAGGCACATTTGCTCATCATAACTTTAAATTTAGTAAGCTTACTTAATACCCAGAAAGAGAGCAGAGGATTATCAAAGATTTAATGCATTTTCACTATGTAATCATTAGAGCCCTGCCTTAACACCAGAACCCTGACCCAGGGGCCATAAAATTCCCAATTTTGGAAGAGGCACCCTTACATATCATAACTATACTCTTAGTTCATCGGCTTAATACCCAGGAGAAAAGGCGAAGATTTTTCAAAAAATTATTGCATTTTACTATGTGATCGCTGGAGCCCCACCTAAACACCTTAACACCAGAACCCCTGACCCAGAGGCCATGAAATTCACATTTTTGGAAGAGGCACCCTTACTCATCATATTTGTTTGCTAAATACCCAGGATCAAAGAAGAAGATTTTCAAAGAGGTAATGCATTTTCACCATATATTCAACAGTGCCCCGCCCTAACACCAGAAGCCCTGACCCTAAGACCATGAATTTCACAATTTTGGAAGAGGCATCCTTACATATCATAACTATAATCTTAGTTCATTGGCTTACTACCCAAGAGAAAAGGAGAAGATTGTCAAAGAATTATTGCTTTTTTACTATGTAATCATTAAAGCCCCGCACTAACACCAGAACCCCTGACCAGGGGCCATGAAATTCACAATATAGGAAGAGGCACCCTTACTCATCATAACAATTCATTCAGTTTGTTTGCCCTGGATCAGAGAAGATTTTTAAAGAAATCATGCTTTTTCACTATATATTCAACAGAGCCCTGCAGGGCTCGACATTAACTTTTTATCTTACTTGTCCATTCGGACAAGTGACCAAGGCATTTACTTGTCCGAACTTCAACTTCACTTGTCCGAAAATTTTCCAATAAAGATCTAATACTGTCAACTTGAAAACTAAAATAAAGTCCATTACACATGACATGTGCTTGATCGATTCGTGATGTCATTGATATTTACAACAAACACATAAAACGAAATTTTATCTAGGCTTTCTGTCCTGACAACAACATAAATGTCCACAAGTGAACCAAACTTCGTTAAGTTCGTACGTTCCATGCCTTTTCAGTAGTATGCAATTAGTGAACTTCGATCCCGAATCAATGTGAACTCAATTAGTAGCGATCCCTATCGGGATCGAAGTCCGGTTTTTATGTACAGCTTCCGTCTTGAAACTACCGATTATCTTTCACAGTCGTTCTTATTATTATTTAGAGACTCCTTTACATTAAAATACACTTGTCCAATCGGACAAGTGCCCAGCAATATTCACTTGTCCGTAATTTTTTTTCACTGGTACCGGGCAAGCGGACAAGCGTTAATGTCGAGCCCTGCCCTGCCCTAACCAGAACCCCTGACCCTGAGGCCATGAAATTCACAATTTTGGAAGAGCCACCTTTTATCATCATAACTATGCATTTATTTTGTTTGCATAATATCCAGGAGCAGAGAAGAGGCTTTTTAAAGTTCATGCCAACAGTTTGCCTGCTTGATTTCCAGGATTAAAGAAGAAGATTTTTAAAGATTGCATTAATTTTGATGGTTTTAGCCCCACCCCTCAGGCCCCAGGGTGGTAGGGGTCATGGATTTCATAATTTTTACTCCCCTTCTCGCAAAGATGCTATATGCCAAATTTGGTTGAAATTGGTTCAGTGGTTCCAGAGAAGCTGTTAATGTTCAAATAATAACGCATGACTCATGACGCAAGATGCACACCGACGGACGAAATCAGATAGCAATAGGTCAGTGACCTAAAAAAAAGGAATTCTGTAACAATATTCAAGATTTTATTATGGAATTCTGTGCAATACATTTCTTTGGAAATCCACAGAATTAAATGTTCTGGAAATACTGTCTTATCAGCTATAAACATAATTTAAGTCTAATTTTTTCATGTTTTATCATGTTTATCATGTAACAAATTTGAATACACAATCAGCAAAATATAAGAAGCTGCGATAAAAACTCATCTTTCATTAGATTTTGGGTTTCATATGACCTTAAATAGCATCTGGGGTTCAGGTTTATTCTAATATGAGTGGCTCATGTGAGCAGATTCGTTTGTTCTAACTTGAGAAGCTCAGGTGAACAGATTCTCGTTTGCTCTAACATGAGATTCTCAGTTGAGCAGATTTGACAGAGGACAGGGCAGAGAGACAGTAATGTGTTTTTGAGACACTATAGAACAGTGTTACCATAATCTTTACTTACCTTCTGTATTTCCTGCTGTATATTTTCTTCTTCCTCAGTTCCACAGTCAGAATTCCCAAATGTCTGCTTCTTTTCTACAATCAAAACATATAATCTGTATTAATTTCCTGAATTTCTTGAGTTTTTTTTTTTTTGTTTTTTTTTTTTTTGTTTTTTGTGTTTTTTTTGGCAAGTTTTACATTCATTTACTGACCATGGATCTGTTGTCTTTATTTAAATTAAAACTCTATATGACTGATCCATGAGTCCATTATTTCTTTTTAAAATTATTCTTTCACCTCATTACATTTTGAAGTTGTTCAAATAAATATTTCTTGTGCAATTTTTGTTTGCTCATTTTTAATAAATTAGAACTAGAAAAAACAACAAAACATCCCACCATATGACTTTTAGTGTTTTATCCTTGTTTTGAAGGAATTTGTAAAAAAAAAAAAGAAAAAAAGTTACATGGTTATTAAGAAAGATGTACTAAAATATCAATATTTTTGCAACTTGATATACTGAGTTTATCAATCATGAATAACAGCTCTACCTACAACCTCTGAGGCAAATTTGACACTACATGTACAAGGTCAAATACTATTTGACACATAGTACATACATTACACTGATAACGACTCCAGGGATCTTAGAGCTTGACCTTTGACACATGGTCAAATAATATTCTACACATCCCTGACACTGTAAAGAACTCCAAGAATGTTGAATTTTACTTTAAACTCTCATGTAGATGGACGTTTATTTTTCCGGCTCATCAACTGTCTCTGAAGCAGGCCAAGCTTGAAGCAGTTTGACTTGTACTCATGATTATGAATATATGAACTACAGCCTTGGAATGCATGCATTAAGTTAGTATATACATGAATTACTTTGATAATACAATGTATTTTAATACAAAGAATTTTTGTTATTTATATGTAAAGTTGAACTTCAGTATCTCTAACACGAATATCTCGAATACCATGGATATGTCGAATGATTGCGAGGTCCTAACCACATCTTTCTTAAGTATTTTACCCTCGATATCTCGAACCCTCAGATATCTTGACATTTTTTCTTGGTCCCATCAAGTTCGAAATAACGAGTTTTGACTGTATATATATACCAGTAGACTCTTCTTTCATTTCTGAATCTGGATCTGTTGAACTGGATATTGGTGACGTCTTAAACTCTGACATGATCTAATTATAGCTTAAAATCCTGTAAGAGAATAAAGGAATAATTTACATTATTTCCCTTATAGCTTGTAACATGAGATTTGATTGGTTAGCAAGCCAGGTGTAAATTTTGGTACACCCAGCTGAAGCAAGGGGTAATTTACATAACATTGCAATGAACAGTTTCTCTAGCAAAAATAAGCATATAACATGTCAAAACGCACTACAGCACACAGTAATCTGATCCAGTTAGATAATCCCCAGATTGGATGTAGGTAACAAAGTTCTTTAAGGTCTTTAAAGTTCTTTAATTGGAAATATATTCCTTATTCTGGTTTAAGGGTGTATGGGTATTTAAGGATTTAAAAAATGAGAGTGGTTTTAGTTTCGTATTTCTTAATATATCAATTCATAAAATGTGTTTTAAAAAAATACTCACCTCCAAATAAATGACCTATAAATTATTTATACATAGATAATGTCTTCTTTATAGATAATATACATGATATTTGAACCTCCTGAATTTTTTATTTACATTTTCTCCACAAGTGTTATGTTCTTTGAAAGTCTTTTTTTGCACGACCCCAAACATGGACTTTGGAATGAGAATTTTTTAAACCGACATTCCAAAGCCATAAAGGCCGGGCTGATTGGGGCCATTGAAAGGTAAATAAAGTATGAAGAATAGGAGTAAAATATATGGTTAATTATTGGATACCATTCTTAAAGTGTGAAGTCATAAAATACAAAAAAAAAAATAAACCGAACTGAGCAACAAAAAAGCAGCGGCGTAAATGGAAGGTTTTAACAACGCTTGGATCTGTAGCTCTCTGCTCTATCTGTCAGAATTTTCTCAAGCAGAGAGATACATGAGTTCTGCAGCTACTTTAGCACTTACCAGCTTGACTGTTGATTCTTGGTACATTTCTTTTTTGCATCATTATGTTAATGTATCCATGAAAAAAAAAAATGGATATAAAAATTTCATGTGTTTGCTCATTTAACCAAAAAGTTATCAAAAAGTTGCAAAGAAAGCCCACAGATTCAGAATTCTATCCCCACACATACATATATAAATAGCCAGCTAGGCCAAAGAATTTATGATCTAGGAATCTAGGACTTAAATTTATTTGCAACTTATTGATGAAAATTCACGTCTGTGATTTAACATATGCCAGCGTATTATGATCAGTTTGATGGAATGTTGGACTATACCAGTACTGGCCAGGTCCGGTACAATCGGTACATTTAGCTATGTAGCTAAAATTACCTACCGTAGCTTTATTTACTGACCTCTGGTAGCTTTATTTAACTATTTCAAGGCAACTTTTCACAATTGTGCTTTTTATTTCAATAGACACAAATAAACTTGTATATAGCCCCAAAACGTTTAAGTTAGAACTTGGATTGCAATTGCACAGAAAAAGACACATCCCAAAGAGTGATTTTTTTTATGAATTGTTTTCAGTTGAGTTCAAAGGTGAAGATTATCACTGCATCAAAGTGCAATTTTCTGCACTTTCTGGGGAAAAAGCTAATTTAAGAAATAAGATTGATTTAGTAGCTAAATAAAACTACTTCAGGTAAGTAAATAAAACTATGTAGGTAATTCAAGCTACGTAGCTAAATCTAGTGGTTGTACCAGATCTGCTGGCAGTAGATGTGGATGCAGACAGAAGCTTCAATATTCAGCTGGATTTTCATTTCAGATATCAAATATCATTATTCCTTGTAATAACATCTAGTACAAGAGTCATTAAAATTTGTTGATTAGAGTGATATTACCTGCTTTGCCTACTCGAGCTGAAGAAAAACACTTTGTAGTGTACACCCTTCGTTTGAGCTATCTTTTGAGTAAAACAACCGAAATCTCGATCCCGATATTAAATAATAGCTGTGTTAAAAAAAAAAATACTGACTTCATGTGTAGGACTCCTAGTATTCAATCACATAACCCTTCACCATTTTGTTTCTTTTCCCAGTGTTTCCCACTGTTTCCTGGGCCTTTCGACTTTTTTCCACGACAATTTTTTTTTAAATGTCAGAGAAATTTACGATGCATTCTATGCTATAATCATGATAATATATAAAATATCTGCATTGAAAATGTAATTAAGTACGATAGAAATTAAGTACATTTTCAATGCAGATATTTTATATATTATCATTTTCTGCCTCGCTGGTTACGCAACCATAAGTACGATAGAAATTAGATAGAAATTGCGTAACCAGCGAGGCAGAAAATGTTGCGACGGACAAGAGCAGGATTTGAACCCAGGCCCCCTGGATTACTAGTCAAGGGCTCGTAACATAAAGCCCGGTGCAAAGATTTCGAAGTAGGGTCACCATGGTCACAAGTGTGATTTATGCGCAGTCCTTTGACTATAGAACATGCCTAAGTACTACTTAATGTGACGATGCGATTATGCCTTCCAAGAAAACACTCGTCACTACATGTTTATGGTTCTTTATTCATCAATTTCCAAAAAGTAACATTCAACTCGCTAAAACTCTACTCTAAGACTCAAAACTAACATACACACAAATCTCATCTCTTTCCCCCAAACTCCTCCCACATTTCTTAAGATATCCAATGAAATGGAATAAAAACTGAAATTGTAACATCAAAAGAAAGATGGTTGACATCAATTTAGGCAGAATTCTCAAGACAGGAAATGTTTAACCTTTTATCTCTACGCTGAAAGTAAAATTTAGAATACTGTCATTGATACCGTGGGGCAGGAGGGGGAGATATGTCAAATTGATAAATTTAACACAGATACTGGAACATCAAAGTAAAAGTAAAATACATAAATTCACTCCTTGACATTAACAATGCTTAAGTATGATTTATCATAGACGTCGGAAGCAAATTGAAAGTGGGTGGGGGGATAATTGAAACTTCGGGGGGGGGGGGGGTGAACCAACAAAAAACGTTTTGGGACTTACATGTAGCATCAATTGTAATTTTTAAAGCCTATGTCTATCTTTGCAAAGAAAAGTGGGGTAGGGAGCTGAGTCCCCTTCCCCCACTAGCCCTCTTCCCGGTTCGACGCCTATAATTATTCTCTATTGAGAAGTTGATGGCTCGTTTTAATACCCCCCCCCCTCAGGGGGAATATTAAAACGAGTCATCAACTTCTCAATAGAGAATAATATTATAATATTCACTATATATATATATGTAAATTTATCACGAATCATCCTAATATTTCTACATGTATTACGAAACATATCATTATAGGTTTAGAGATTTTACATTGAACATGTTGAAATTATAATTCTGACAAAAAAAATAATTCTTAATTATTAGGCAAATGTAGCACAGCGTTACTTGTAGAGAGGATCCCCGACCCCCTAATTTACACCCTGGCCCAGTGATTTTTTTTTTTTATTTTTGTTTAATAAATAACAAATACAAAAAAAAAAATCCACATTAAGGAAGCTCTATAAACACTGCACACTAAAGAGATCTAATTGTAGGGTAGTTTTATACAGTTAGAGTGCCCTGCCCTTAGAAGTAAGGTAGAAAAAATGGTTATTTATAGTTATATTAATTACACAATTTGTAATAGATTAAAATATACAACAGTGATTTCTGTTCACGCATAGTACATTGTCTTTGGACATTTTTCCTGCAGGAATAAGGCACGTACCCTATATGTTAAAATTGAATTAAATAGTCTCAATATGCACACCTTTATATGATATATTTTTCTCCAAGTCCAAAAAGCACTTTTTGTTAGTGTTTAGAGCTTCCTTAATATGCTTATCATGCCTCTGCTATTCTTAAGAAGATTTTAAATTTAAAGATCTTCTCCAAATATCTTCGTAAGTAAAACATTGATCTACAATTCAACCACCGGGGATCATAATTAAAAAATAAATAAATAGATAAATTAACTGTGTAATGAAGCTTTCACAAAAATTTTAATAAATATTTTCTGCTCCAATGGTTCTGAAAAGATTTGAAAAAATACTCCATTAAATTTTCATTAAATCTGAATTATCTCCCCCTTGAAAGAGGGTCTGGCCCTTCATTTGACCAAATTTGAATTTCATTCACCCAAGCATGATTTGAGGCAAGTTTGGTTGAAATATTAGATAAGTGGATCATGAGAAGAAGATGAAAATGTGACAACGACAGGGTCTACCAACTAGTCCGAAGGTTCACTAGTCCAAAGACCCACTATAGTCCAAAGGTTTACAAGTCCACGGCCCACTAGTCCGAAGGTTCACAAGTCCACGGCCCACTAGTCCGAAGGTTCACTAGTCCGTTCGGAAAAAAATTACGAACTTTTTGTTTACATATCATAACAAGGAGCCATACATACATACATACATATATATATATATATATATATATATATATATATATATATAAATCTATATCTATATATATATATATATATATATATTGCACAAACTTTAAAATAATGTTTGTTTGCCCTTTCCCGACTAAGGGTGAAAAGGGAAGGTATTGTCACAAGGAATACACATGTGAATATAAAAGCCATAGCTCTAGATCTAATCAAAAGTTATGGGCAATGTTAAAGTTTTTGCGGATAAGGCAAAAACAATATACCCCTAAATCTTCGATTCCAGGGGGCGAAAAAAAAATTTTCGCGTTATAACCCGCAAATTTCGCGAATAAACGTGACAGTTGCGCGTTATTACGCGTAACTTTCGCGTTACAGCGCAAAACTTTCGCCAATTAACGCGAAACTTCACCGTTATAACGCGTTAGTTTCGCGAAACTTTCTCATTATAACGTGAAATTATACATATATAGTTATGTTAATCATGCAGGAACCCGTAATATGGGCGTATCATACATTGTGGCGGTGAACTTTATTGTTAAAATTTAATGCATTTTTCGATAGTTTTACTGCTCTGGTCAAATCGTGTATGTGTTATATATTACATAGTTATTGAATTACACTTGTTTTTGTTGCTTCTTATGTTCAAAACTTTTTCTTAATAGCTGTGTACAATGAATCAAGTGCTATATTTAATACAGTAAGACACGTTCTTAGGAAGTTAAGTTCATGATATTTTAATGCCATGGGAAATGGAAATCACTTTGCTGTAAGTGTCAATATATTATAAGCGGGTTCGCTATAAGAGTATTTACTATATATTGAACTCCATAGAAAAGAACGATGCTTGACTGTTCATTAAATAAATTAACAGATATATATAAAGAAAAGTTCCGAGCTGAGTATGAAAAAGATTAACAAGGAAGTTGAGGTCTACCATAAGTAATTGAATTACATATTACAATCCCCCATGTATATATAGGAAAAAGTAAATGATTTATGTTTTGATAAGTACTGCAGTTACTTGATTCTGAAGAAAAGTCAATTATAAATTCATAGATGTTCACCTTGAGCAGTCAACAGTGGAGAAAGAAAGGGTTGAGATGCAGGAATATAAGAATATAAGAAGGAAGTTTCAAATTTCTATTAGTAATTCTAAGTCGTAATATTAATAATTTGTGGTCCGAATTTCAAACTTCAGGAGCTTAAGGTACAATATAGAAGAATTCCGCAGAGCCACACACTTTGAACCGTTTAACTTACGGACTATATCGGGTTTTCTGACTAGTGAATCTTCGGAGTAGTGGACCTTTGGACTAGTGAACCGTCGGACTAGTGAACCTTCGGACTAGTGGACCGTCGGACCAAAGAACTTTCGGACTAGTGGACCGTGACAACAACGACGACAACTAGTCACAATGAAGGTACAATATACATGTATCTTCTACATAAAATGAATTAATTGACTAAGTTTGATGTTTCTAGGTCTAATAGTTGTCCAATACTGTTATGAGCCAGACATGGTTTTGCCATACTTGGCCATATTATCATGGTGGCCTACTTTTAATGTGCACATACCTTCCACCCAGTATATACCAGCCGAGGCATTGATTATTCTATGCCTCATAGTATTTAAGTTATGAGTCGGACACGAATAAGAGGCCCATGGGCCACATCGCTTATCTAAACATTTTGGCTAGAGAAAAAAAATCATTTAGTTCTAAAATTTTTAAAAATGTAAGTGGTCAAGATCTGAACATATTTCAATCGACACTATGTAATGAAGTTTCATTTTCTCTGGTCAAGTGGTTATTGAGAAGTATTTTAAAGATGCCATTAATTTTTCATGCACTAATTCTGAATTATCTTCCTCTGAAAGAGGGTGTGACCCTTCATTTGAATAATTTGAATTCCCTTCACTCAAGCATGCTTTGTGACAAGTTTGGTTGAAATTGGCCCAGTGACGTTCTTGGAAAGAAGTCGGAAATGTGAAAAGATTACAGACGAAACACGACATCCGGAAGCTGAGCACTCTGTGATCAGAAAAAGCTCATTTGAGCTTTCGGCTCAGGTGAGCTAAAAAAGCTAACAAAAAGACAGACAGTTGGACAAGAACACCACACAATAGTACGTCCTTTTCTATATATTCCTTTGTATGATTTTGATCGCCTATTGTGGGATTTGAATAAATTTGAATGAACACTAAAAAATGAAGCTTTCATGTAAGTTTCAATTACATGTATTTTGGTCCAGTGGTTCTTAAAAAGCAACTTTAAAAGATTTTTCCTATATACATGTACTCCTATGTAAAACTATGATCACATTTTGTGGACCTATCCTACTACCGAAGATCATGATTTGAACAAATGTGAATCTACACTATGTAATCTTGGTAATTAAGCTGTCGAATAAGTTTCAACTTTTCTAGCTCTTTGGTTCTTGAGAGGAATTAAGAGATATAAAAGATGTCACTCAATTTTCACCAATTCTTGATTAAAATCTCCATTTCAAAGAGGATGTGACCCTTCATTTGAACAAACTTGAATCCTCCTCATCCATGGATGCTTTGAGGCAAGTTTGGTTGAAATTGGCCCAGTGGTTCTTGAGAAATCGAAAATGTGGAAAGTTTACAGACGGACTGACAGACGATAGAAAAAATGTGAACAGAAAAGCTCATTTGAACAGTCAGGTCAGGTGATTTAAAATCGAATTGCAAAATGCTAACAAATATTGAAATGTTTCTTCAATATGTTAACATATATGCACTGCCTAGTAAATAACCATAAAAACCTTGTCATATTTCTTAATCACATTTAATGTAAGATATGGCTTAAACATACATGTGTATTTCATAAACGAGCATGTTAAATGTACATTTTAAAATAAAAGTCGTAGAGGAAATGATATTATTTCTTAGAGCAAAACTGCATGGTCTTCTGAGTCCTAGACAATCATCCTAGTAAGGAATGAATATTTTTTTTAAAACCTTTCTTTTACTTGAATATTGCTCAATATCTGTCTAATTATATCAGATAAAAGTTTCTTTTAATCTTTACTTTTGTTACGCTCAGTTCATATTTTTTATTGCAAATTCATAGCACAAAGCCCTGTAACCATAGCAACCAAGATGTTTTGAAGGAAATAATCAATACATTGATTCCTCTTTAGAAACATTAGATACATGTTTTTTTTTGGTCTATTTATAGCATAAACCTACACATTACATTTTTTTACTCTCATGACTTCGTTAATGTTACAATTGACCAATATAGTTTACATGTAGCCTTATCATGTTTATTGACTTATAAAACATTAACCGTTCCTTCATACGTGATCATTTACATTATTTGTCATTTCACAAAGCCAACCTGAAGAATCAAAACACCTGAAAATTTAAATTTGTTCAATTTTAGAAGACCGTTACCATGGAAACAGAAACTAACAGCAATCAAATACATGTATTTATTGGTTTAGTTTCCACAAATGCTTGTTCATATTTTCAGGGAAATGATCCATGATCTCTGCAAGCCAAATCAAACTGAAGGACTCACAGAGAATGCCGACAACTTATGCAAAAATTAAAGGCACACATCATCACCGGCGATATTAGGCCGTCTTTAAAATAATGTTTATTTGCCCTCTCCCGACTCAAAATGAAAAAAAAATTGGGTCGATAGGCAGGTGACAAAATTTTTTCCCCAAAAAAATTCAACTTGCTTGTTGATAGGATAAGAAAATTCTGGGGAAAATAGTAAAAAAAAAGTTTCCTAGAGGTTAAAAGAAGTTTTGAGTCAGGCCATTTTTAGCCAGTCGGTCATGAGAGGGCAAACAAACAATTTTTTAAAGATGGCCTTATGTGCAAAATCTCAACATATTTCAATCTACACTATGTAGTTCAGATCGACTGAAAAACTACTTATGAGAAAGGTTTTCCTCAAATGCAAATATGTCTCTTTTTTCTTGTCTGATGAACCTCTTTTCCACAGGCTCCATTTTCATAAGGTGTTTAAATAGCATTTGTCTTCATTATGACTGACTACGCACATTCTCACACCACATTTATAAGGTTTATCAGCTGTATCCGTCATGGTGTGTATGTGTCTTAAGTAAGGTGCCTGATTGGTTGAATGTCTACCCACGTACATTGCATATATATGGTTTATCACCTCTGTGTCCACAAGGGTGTAGTTGTAGGGTAGCTGAAACATAGAATGCCTCCCAAAAAAACACCGCACAAATCTCTAAGATTTATCACCTGCGCGTATGTGATCTCATATGTGTCTTCAAGTGATCTGATCGCTTGAATGCCTTCTCACACACATCACATTTATAAGGTTTATCACCCATATGTGTCCTTACATGAATCTTCAAAGTATCTGATCGGTTGAATGTCTTCCCACATACATCACATTTATATGGTTTATCACCTGTGTGTGTCCTCAAGTGTTTCTTTAGGTTATTTGTATAACAAAATGCCTTCTCACAAACAACACATTTATAAGGTTTATCACCTGTATGAGTCCTCTTGTGTACCCGAAAGGTACTTGAATCAGAGAATGCTTTATTACACACATCACATTCATAAGGTTTATCACCCGTATGTATTTTAATGTGATTCCATAAGTGTGCTGACTGCTTGAATGCCTTTCCACACACGCTACAGTTATAGGGGTTATAACCTGTATGTGTCCTTCTGTGTATCTGTAAGTGACCTGATTGGTGGAAAGCCTTTCCACACACATCACATACATGAGGTTTTTCATCCATGTGTATACGCATGTGTCTATTTAAATGAGATTTTTCACCGAATGTTCTCACACACAAATCACATTTGAAAGGTTTTTCACCAGTATGTGTCCTCATGTGTCTCTGCAAATGATTTGAACGGCTTAATAGTTTGTCACATATGTTACATTTATAACACTTTTTGCTTGAATTGGCACTAATCTCCGTTTCGTTGTTGTCAGCAGTAAAGTTTTTTAACTTTTCAGCATCACTTTGAATATGTGAAGTGATCAAATAAGCCATTTGTTCCTCCTGTAAAATTGACAAAATCACATCTTTTAATGCTATATCAAGGTAATTTGTTTGATAATATTAAGACAATAGTCAATCATGACTTGAAATAACCAGTGGTATGCAAAATACGTACGCAAAATACCTCCCTCTTTCATTCTACAAGGGACAAGAGGCCCATTGGCCACATCGCTCACCTGACCACATTGGCTAGGAAAAGAACATATCAGTTCAGTATTGAAACAACAAAGCTTTGCTGTTCTTGAGAAGATTTTTCAAGTTTTTTCATATATATTCCTATGTAAATCTTTGATCATCCATTGTGACCCCACCCTACCCCTGGGAGGCATCATTTGAACAAACCTGATTCTACACTACCTAAGGATGATTCCACATGAGTTTCATCTTTCCTGGCCCAGTGGTTCTTGAGAAGAAGATTTTTAAAAGATGCTATTAATTTCTCACTAATTTGTTACTGTAATTATCTCCCCTTGGAAGGGGGCATGAATCCTCTTCACCCAAGAATACCTTGAGGCAATTTTGGTTGAAATTGGCCCAGTGGTTCTTGAGGAGAGGTCGAAAATGTGAAAAGTTTACAGACAGACGGACAGACAGACAGCTAGACATACGGATGCTGGACAAAATGTGATCAAAAAAGCTCACTTGAGCCTTCGGCTCAGGTGAGCTAAGAAACATGAAAGTCTGTCTCGAATGGAATTCGGTGAAGATCCATGTGAGTGTCTACATTATGATTCCAAATCTCAATTTACCTCTTTCATGTACCAACAAATCTTTGATATCAAGGTGCATTACAGGCATCAAAAATACACAAAGGGCAACAGACCTTTGAGCCCCTGTTTTAGGTCTCTACACCTACAGACATTCTTTGATCTGATACCCCAGTAGCCAAAATTTTAACAAATATGAATCTGCACTATCTAAGGATGCTTGCATTTTTATGTGAATAGTCATGATCAATTGAAATGTGACTTAGAGACAAAAATTCCCTATCTATTCCCATATTAAACTGGTTATCCCCTACTACAATTTGAGGTTCATCATACCTTCCCTGCGTACTTTGGAAAGAAATATTTTAAAAGATCTTGAAATTATGACAAGAGGCCCAAGGGCCTTAACGGTCACCTGAGTATAATACAACAATTTAGAAGTTAAATACACTGATAGTTGAAGCTTTGTTGCCCTAAAGCAAGAGAAGAAGGAAGATCAGGATCAACAAAATAATTAGTCTAGTATTCAGTATCAACTCATAAATTAAGTTCTAATCTGTCCCCCACTTAACACTATGCAGACTATTAACAAACTATTAGTGCTTCTGTACTATTTATAAACCCATATTAAGACCTCTAGCATTGACCTCTCTTATGGTCTTTGAAGAACTTTTAATAAGATAAGTTATTTTTGTCTCATTTTTATTTATCTATTACTTACAGGTCTACCTGTTTATTAAAACTAAGAAAGTACTTTTTTAATTATACGATAAACATTCTTGCATAATTATCTTATTCTATTAACCTTTCAAATACATTATTTACAGTGATTAATTATGAAAGGTGAATGGAAAAGGGGAGTAACTTCTCTCAGTAGAATACAAATTAATAGAGCCCTGCCCAGGACCAGAATGCTTAGACCAATGGTCCAGATGTTTAAAAATTTGGTAAAAATATGCTTACTCATATCATTTAAACTTTTACTCAGTTTGCTTCCAATATGCCCAGAAGCAGAGAAGAATTTCACAGGTACAATGCATTTTCACTACAGATTCAACAAAGCCTTACCCTAACACCACACCAGAACCCAAGACCAAGGGTCAAGAAATTTACAAATTTGGAAGAGTTACCCTCATCATCATAACTATGGACTTCAAAGAATTAACACTTTTCCACTATATTATCAAAAGCCCCCCCCCCCCCCCCATTATGCCAGAACCCCTGACCCTAGGACCACAAGATTTAAAAATTCTGTTCGAAGCTCCCATTTTCATCATAGCTAAGCAATTTATTTATCAGCTCAACACTAAGGAGCAGACAGGATTAATTAATGATTAATGGAATTAATGCTTTTTCACTATATAATCAATAGAGCCCCCCCCCCCCCCACTCCGAAAGAACCCCAAAAACTGAGGCCATATATTTAAAAATCTTGGAAGAGGCATCCTTGTCTATCATAATCATGCACTTAGTTTGTTTATATAATCTCCAGGAGCAGAGAAGAAGATTTTCAAAGAATCAATGCATTTTCACTGTATAATCTATAGAGCCCCGCCCTAACACCAGAACCCCTGACCCTGGGGCCAAGAAATTCACAATTTTTGAAAAGGCATCCTCATGCATCATAACCATGCACTTAGTTTGTTTAAATAATCTCCAGTAGTAGAGAAGAAGATTTTCAAAGAATCAATGCATTTTCACTATATAATCAATAGAGCCCCACCCTAACACCAGAACCCCTGACCCTGGGGCCAAGAAATTCACAATTTTTAAAAAGGCATCCTTATGCATCATAACCATGTAGTTAGTTTGTTTAAATAATACCCAGGAGTAGAGAAGACAATTTTCTCCTGTCCCAGGGGCCATGGCTTTCACAATTCTGGAAGAGGCTCACCTCCTCATCATAACTATGTACTTAGTTTATCACCTTAATGCCCTGGAGCAGAGGAAAAGATTTTCAAAGAATTAATGCATTTTCATCATATAGTCGATAGAGCCCCACCCTAACACCAGAACCCCTGACCCTGGGGCAATGAAATTCACGATTTTGGAAGAGGTACTCTTGCTCATCATAACTATGTACTTAGTTACTTTATTTAATATCCAGAAGCAGAGAAGAAGATTTTCAAAGAATTAATGCATTTTCACTATATAATCTATAGAGCCCCACCCTAACACCAGAACCCCTGACCCTGGGGCCATGAAATTCACAATTTTTGAAAAGGCACTTTTGCTCATCATAACTATGTACTTAGTTACTTTATTTAATACCCAGGAGCAAAGAAGAAGATTTTCAAAGAAATAATGCTTTTTCACTATATAATCTATAAAGCCCCGCCCTAACACCAGAACCCCTGACCCTGGGGCCATGAAATTCAAAATTTTGGAAGAGGCACTCTTGCTCATCATAACTATGTACTTAGTTCCTTTATTTAATACCCAGGAGCAGAGAAGAAGATTTTCAAAGAAATAATGCATTTTCACTATATAATCAATAGAGCCCCGCCCTAACACCAGAACCCCTGACCCTGGGGCCATTAATTTCACAATTTTGGCAGAGGCACTCTTGCTCATCATAACTATGTACTTAATAACTTTATTTAATACCCAGGAGCAGAGAAGAAGATTTTCAAAGAAATAATGCACTTTCACTATATGATCTATATACCCCCACCCTGGGGCCAGAACCTCTGACCCTGGGGCCATGAATTTCACAATTTTGGTAGAGGGCTCCATGCTTATTACAATGATGCCAACAGTTTGACTGCTTGATGTCCAGGAGTAAAGAGGAAGATTTTTAAAGATTGTATTATTTTTGGTGGTTTTAGCCCCACCCCTCAGGCCCCAGGGGGGCAGGGACCATGAAATTCACAATTTTTGTTCCCCTTCACCCATAGATGCTATATACCAAATTTGGTTGAAATTGGTTGAGCGGTTCCAGAGAAGAAGCTAAAAATGTTCAAAAGTTTACGACCGACGTACAACGACAGACAAAAACAGATAGCAATAGGTCACCTGAGTTTACTCAGGTGACCTAAAAATATGGAAGTTAAAAGATTGATGGATGGAGTGAACAGCATTACAGGGGACAGGTGATCTGAAAAGCTCACATGAATCCTTTTGTTCAGGTGAGCTAGCATCCTTATCAATAGTGATATCATTACCCTTAACCTTCATTTGAAGATTTTTCTTTCATCCAAAGAGTCTTTAAACAATTTGGACCAAATACCTTAACCTTTTGACTAAGTTACGTTACATGTATTCTTAATTTTACAGATTTCTTTTTCTTTCCAAACAATTCATTGCCTATAGAGCAAATTCAAATATTAAATACAATGTAAAGGGCCCATGGGCCTTGACAGTCACCTGAGTATCATGAGTTTCTTAGTCTGTGACCACTTTAATGCAACCCAGAACTTAACTCTGGACTCACATCCAGAGGGAAACTAGACTCATTGTAACGTTATCATATTATTTCAGCTTGTCATCGTGAATGTTAGGAATATAGAAGGCAAGGTACAGCAGATACTAGATTTTCTTCTGTTTCACCCAGGGGCTTTACTCTTGGACCCAGGGAACATGGTTATTATAATCATGCAATCACTTTCTTGCTAGATGTAGACAAGAAACTATTCAGACTTTCAAAAATGTTATATACTTTCAATATGTAACCAACTCAGCCACATCTTGAGGCCTGAATCCATGGGTACAGGGGCCATTATTTTTGGAGAAGGCTAAGTGTTAATTTGATCTTACAACCGTGTTGTAGAGAGGATTTTCAAAAGTGTAATATATTTGCAATATACATATTTGGCCAACTTAGGCCTACCCCTGAGTCTAAAAAATGGCAAGAGACCCGGAGGCAATGATCTTATCAAATTTGATAAAGAGCTAAGCATTTATTTAAAGCATGAAAATAGTTTGCCCGCTAAATGTCACACAGTAGAAATGTCACACAGTAGAAAATATTGAATTTCATACATGACCAAACTAAGCCCCAGTCTAGAGTGAGAATTGATTATTATTAGATATAAGATTGATTATTGAAGTTTTGCATCCCTTGCAAGATTATTTCACCGATATCAGATGTCAGCAAATGCTATTAAAGAGTTTAAAATCAAGACCTTTAATCAGCACTCAGGACCATTATGCAATAATTCTTTAGTGTGTCAACCCGTGCTTTGACATGGGGCATAGGTTTTTATGGTCTCATTCAAAAGACCCACAACTATAACCTCAAAGTGCCAAGTACATTTACTGGCAAATATCAAAAGGATAAGTTGCTACCTATTTTTAATTGACTTAGGTTGCATTCCAAGACCTTCCTAATACAGAGTAACAGTTCTACAACCAGAGCTTTTCTGAAACTTTATAAAATTTTACATTTGACAGACTGACAGACAAATTGGCACAGTAATTACTATAGAACCTTGAACAGGGGGTTAAAAGTCATTTACCTTTATCATTTTCTGCTGTTGATTTTCTTCTTCCTCATTTGCAGGGTCAGAATTCTTGATTATCAGTTTCTTTTCTACAATCAAGACAAAAATTATGTAAGGACATTATAAGAAATTTTGGCAGCCAAGGATGTTAATAATTACTGGGACAAAGCATCTAAAGACTGTAGCCTTTACAATTCAATTTCAAAGTTAACAACAAACAAATTCTTCTAAGACAATGTTGTTGGCATATTTTGGTTGGTTGGATATATGTTGTTTTACATCCCATTCAAGAATTTTTCACTTGTACAGAGATGTCACCATAGCCTGCGTGGCGCAGTGGTTAGAGCGTCTGCTCTAGAGTTGCAAAGTAAGGAGTTTATCTTTACGTTGCGGGTTCAAATCCCACTGTGGGAAGTGGGGACTGGTCTTTCGGATGAGACCCTATAAACCAAGGTCCCGTGTCGCAGTAGATGCTGGCATAAAAAAGATCCCTCACTGCTCAATGGCCGTAAGTGCCGAGTATAGGACAAAATTTGCAGCTCTCCACCAGCAAGTGGTGGCGTCTCCATATGAGTGAAAAATTCTTGAGAGGGACGTTAAACAACATACAAACAAAAAACAAAATTGATGTCACCATATACTGGTGAAGGGCTTCAAATTTAGACCTATACTTGGCACTCAGGGCCATTGATCAGTGATGGTTTGTATCATGCCAACACCTACCAAGACATTGGACCTCAGTTTTATGTTTTCATCCAAAAAGACACATGGACTTTCACTTCAGCTCTTGACTCCAGAGTGAATGTTGTTCTGGACAACATAGTACCCCTTTGTACCATCACCATCAAAGGCGACTCCCTCAAACAATGGTAGAATGACTCAATCCATGAAGCAAGACAATGGAGAAGACAGTTGGAGCAAAAAGCCATGAGCTCGGGCCTTGAGGTACATAGACAGATGCTTGCAGAACAGACATGTCAAACATGTTCACTTCTTATGTTCGACATGGTTTAGTAAAGAAGAATCAATAGTTCAGTGGTTACAGTGCTTGCAAGATACACCAGAGACCCTAAGTTCGAGTGACAGTGGAGACTTCATTTTCACCAACTTTCACTTTCACTTACCACTATGCTATTGAGACCCGCTGTCTTGACTGCCTTTCATAAATCTGTTAACTCAGTGATATACACAAAGGATTTTCTATAATATGCTTACCAGTTGATACATCATCTGATACTTGATTTTCAGAACAAGACTTAGGCCACATCTTGATATCAGCTGACATAATCTAATTACTGCTCAACAAACCTGTAAATAAATAAACAAATCATTTAAAGCCTTACATTAATTCTTGAAAATCAGAGAAAAATAACTTTGTAATGCCATTTTAATGATATCACTCATTGAAATTAGACCTAGATATAATGCTTTATTTGGAAATAAAGTAAAAAATCAACAATATCTATAGTTACGCGATCTATTATATTGATTACTGATAAATGCATGAAAGGAGCCAGATTGCTCCTGTGTACTGTATGTGTACTTTAAAAAGCAGGCTTCATATTTTATCAGCTTTGGAGCAGACAATGATGTGCTAATTTATGAATGCCACTAAGAAATCATTTATATATACAATACACGGTCCGGACATGAGTAGCGCTAATTCATGATTTCATCAACAACTCCATACCCAGTGATTGCTCTAAATTTTGAATACACAAATTTATGTACTTGTACAGTATATAAATTGTAACTAAATACACATCTGACTGATTCATAAAAACTACAAGAGGCCCATGAGCACATTGGCTAGTCAAAAGCACAAATCAGTTCAGTATTGAAATGATTACGGGGGGGGGGGGGGGGGGGGGGGTTTAAACTACGTGATGATGCTTCAATGTCATTATAACAAATGGCTTTGTTGTACTTGAGAAGATTTTTTAAAAAAAATTTCCCATATATTCCTTTGTAAAAATTTGATCCCCCATTGTGTCTCCTCCCTATCCCAGGGGTCATCATTTGAACAAACTTGAATCTACACTACCTGAGGATGCTTCCATATCAATATGACTAAAATAGCTTTTCTGTTCTTGAGAAGAAATATTTTTCTATATGTTCTTATGTAAAACTTTTGATCCCCCACTGTGGCCCCACCCTACTCCCTGGAGTCATGATTTGAACAAACTTGAATCTACACTACCTGAGGATGCTTCCATATAAATATGACTCATCATGGCTTTGCTGTTCTCGAGAAGAAGATTTTTAAAGATTTTTCCTATATATTTCTATGTAAAACTTTGATCCTCCACTGTGGCCCCGCCCTACCCCTGGGGGGCATGATTTGAACAAACTTGAATCTACACTACCTGAGGATGCTTCCATGTAAATATGACTTATCATGGCTTTGCTGTTCTTGAGAAGAAGATTTTTAAAGATTTTTCCTATATATTTCAATGTAAAACTTTGATCCTCCATTGTGGCCCCGCCCTACCCCCGGGGGTCATGGTTTTAACAAACTTGAATCTACACTACCTGAGGATGCTTCCACATAATTATGACTCATCATGGCTTTGCTGTTCTTGAGAAGAAGATTTTTAAAGATTTTTCCTATATATTTCTATGTAAAACTTTGATCCTCCATTGTGGCCCCGCCCTACCCCCGGGGGTCATGATTTGAACAAATTTGAATCTACCCTACCTGAGGATGCTTCCACATGTGTTTCATCTTTCCTGGCCCTGTGGTTCTTGAGAAGATGATTTTTAAAAGATGCTATTAATTTTTCACTAATTCTTTATTATCTCCCCTTGAAAGAGGGCGTGGCCCTTCATTTGAACAAATTTGAATCCCCTTCACCCAAGGATACTTTTTGGCAAGTTTGATTGAAATTGGCCCATTGGTTCTTGAGAAGAAGTGGAAAATGTTAAAAGTTTACAGACAGACAGACAGACGGACAGACAGACAGACGGACGCCGGACAAAAAGTGATCAGAAAAGCTCACATGAGCCTTCGGCTCAGGTGAGCTAAAAATATTATATTTAACATTTCTAGTAAAGAATTTTGCCCTGTTTACAGGAAGAGATTAATTCTAATTAAACATAGATTTAAACATGGTGCTTAAATTTGAACTGTATTCACACAGAGGAATTAAAAGTTTAACCCAAAATACTCTAGGAAAGAGAAGCACTGGTGGTAAAAATAATGAAGTCATTCTTTTTCTCATATTTCGTTTATTTCTGTAAAGGTTTGGACCATCAATATCAGTTTGGATAGCTCAGTAGAGCACTTGACTAGTGATGCAGGGGTCCATGATTCGAATCCCATACGGCCATACATTTTGTCCTATCCTGTTACATAAATTGGTGTCATTGACCACCCCTGGACTTGCAGGTAAAAGTCCTGCCAGGAGCAAACAAGATCTCATGTGTGTCTTCTACAATGAGGACTATTTAAGGAGGGAGGAATGTAATGGTTGCTTTGGATATTAACCTGGAGAGCTCAGTTGCTAAAACACCTGAGTAGTGATGCAGGAGTCCAGGGTTCAACTACTAGCCCAGCCATACAATTTCTCCTTTCCTGTTACATTTGTACATTTATACCTAAATTACTAATTTAGTATGTTCTACATATCTTAAAGCAGTTCTTTCATCATATACATGTATCTTATAATTTGTTAGAGATTTTGATAGAATAATATTGCTCCCTTCAGTGTCTGAATGAAGTTCAATTCTTCATGTCTCTAATCCATTATATTAATTGTCCTCAGTGGGAATAATAAAAAAAATTGTATGCAAGATATGTATATCTTTAAATATTTTAGAATCTGAATTGAATTTAAAAGTTATAAAGCATGTTTTTTGATTGTAGCAAGTATGAGTCAGAGGGGACCTAAAAAATAAGATTTGCTAAGCACATTCTATACATAAAGGTCCCATCATCAAGCTAACACAGGCGTATATCCTAAGGGACAAATCGCATCAAAATTTTGAATTTTTATTCATAAGCGGCAGTGAACTGTTGGGAAAACACTCCACTTAATACGCAAGTTTCGAGATTATCTCCCTTGGTGCGCTCTTTCGTTAGGGAGGGGAGTTTTGTTTCCGAGTAAGCAGGCAGGTGGGACAGTTATTTATATATTGGATACATTACATCATCTATATACCATCATAACTGATTTGGGGATGAACACTTCAAATCAAAAATTACCGAATTAAAGTAAAGGCGTCATTTTTTTCAATGAGCAAAAAATCAGAACAAAAGAAAATATCATGCAGTGGATAAGAACTTATCAAACAAGGGAATCTCAAATAAATACACACGCATCTGATCATTGCACGTTGTCATTCTGAATGACTTTTTCCCTCATAATAACTTCAAAGAGCCCAATAACTCTTAAGAAAAGGTTTGTACAATCAAAGAATTATTTTTTTTACAGAGAGTTCTTTCATTTTCAAGTATCCTAATTGAAAGTAAATTTTGTAAATATGTATAGCAGAGCTTTATAAAACCATCAAAATGATCATTGCTTAGCATTATCATCTTTCTAAAACATTAAAGGAATTGTAAAAGCCATAGCAATCATTCATTTATTTATGCACATTTGTATACATTAACAACCTGTCCCACTTTCATGCTGATATGGATACTTTCTGCGCCTCTATCGTAGGAGAGTTACAATCTCGAAACTCACGTATTTCATTTAATATTGTGAGACCAGAAAAAGATTGACTTACTTTCAATTATTTTAAGGCCCGGGTTTTTTTAGCATTGTTTGTAGCTATTCCTAATACATGTAATTTGTACTTGTTCATTAAAAATTGAGTCACATAACATCAGTATACAAACATAATTATGCTACATTGCTATAGATGGAAATTAAGACAAATTAATTAATAATTCTCAAAGCATTAAAATATGAATAGATTTATTGATACTGATAAAATCTAATATGGCATAAAAGAAATTCTCGCAATTCGTTAAAATTTGATATTGTGTACAAGGGTAGGTTATCTTCAATGTAAGAATACTTTTAAGTTTCGATTTCAAAATGATGTGTAGGATATGGCCTTTTTGTTTATACATGTATCAGTATATGGAATATATGGCACTTTTTCCTGCAGTTTAAAATCTCAAAAGAGTTCCTTTCCCAGCATTCAAGGTGTGTTACACAGGATTAAGTGGGTAGACCTGACCAATTTTAACTTCTCAGACATCACAAGCAGAAAAACAACCCTGAATGTGTTACAGAAGTGTCAATGCCAGCCCCTCTTATCTGTAGAGTCTAGATAGGTAACATTTTTGGTGAACTTTATGCAGTAAGATATGTGAAACAAGTTAAAAGGCAGTTCTGGCACAGAAACACATCGATTTGAAGCATATTCCTCCACCAATCACATCCAAGGTTTGTATAGAGCATAGCCGAGTCAGCCGAGAATTGTCGATTGGAGCTTTAATAGTCGCGCCGCTCGTCACTGCTAGCTCTAACGAAAACGCCTGGGCGAAGAGAAAATTCGGACTACTGCACATTCATTCAATAGAATTTTTTTTGGCAGTAATTGTGGACCCACAATGCATCATTTGTTGTTCTCGCTGCTAACATCGTTCGCACGGTAAAAACAACTAAACATTCACAAAAAATAAACTCAACTTAATTTAATGGATATTGCATACAGGTAGTAGATTAAACATTCTTTGTTTAAATTTTTGCACTTTTCAAACTTTGCCTATGGAAATGCAGCTAACATACGACGTCATAGTCTAGACGTTCAAAATGTCTCATGCGGTTTGAAGAGGCGGATCTTGAAATTAAGTGAACAATGTGCTCGCCCTAACGGTCGCACCGTGAACATATTATCTTTTATATATATATATATATATATATATATATATATATATATATATATATAAATTAACAAGGGAGACAATCAACTCTGTCTATCTAATATTTGAATAAATGGAAAGCAACTCCATTGATTTAGTTTCAAATTTTCACACCTCCTGACTTTGGAAACGTTTTTCAGAGTTTGCCAGAAAGACCCGAGAAGATGCGATGACCTGTCAGAGTGAGTATACATTGCGGCTAAGCGCTTTTCAGTACTTTTTTCTCATGTACATGTATGGAGGATTCTCTGCGATTGAATAACGTCATCTTTCCTTGCAATGATACATTTTTAGAAACAGCTTTGGGTAAGAGTCAATCAGGCGTAGATGATTTAAAATTACCTACTTTATGTACTAGAGCTGAAATAACACATGCACTTGTCTTGATACACCAGTCCATCAATGCATCATGCCTCCATCCAGTGATCCACTTCTTTGGTGTAAACAAACCGAAATGTCGATCCCGATTTGTAATGATCAAAGAAAGAGGACACAAATGAATGAATGAATGAACGAATGAATGGATGAATAAATAAATAAGTAAATTAATTGATTAATTAATTAATTAATTAATTTGTATCAGAGTTCTTTAAAAAAATCCTTAAATTCTATGGTAAAGAAACAAAAAAAAAAAAAACACACACCAAATTTTGCCCCCCCCCCTCCCGAAAAAAAACCCTCGTAAAATTGTAGGACGAATCATATATCATATGAAGAAAAGTGAAAATGGCTACTTCATCTCCCTCTTCCTAGATAAGTTTTTCGTGTTTGGAAAAGTTATTTAGTTATCGAATGATTTTTTTTTTTTTTGTTGAGTTTTCATACTAGACCCTTCTTTGAAAAAGAAAAAAATCCTTCTGCGCATGGATAGAGAGAGTTATAAAGGATTCCCCCCTAAAAATGAAGAAAATATCCTATATATATAGATACCAGTATTTCAAAGAAGTTTATATGGAGATAACATGGGTAACGTCTTTTAAAAAGTATTAAACATTTAATGTCAAAATACAATATACATCAATTATGGACTTTTTAGACGGGATATAACACAAATAATTAGGTCAGTTTCCCTGCTCTTATTTTTCAGTTGTCTCCTCTTGAAAGAAGACAGAGTCCTTTATTAAGTAAAGAATAGAATGCCCTTCATCCAAGGATGCTTCGTAGCAAGTTTAGTTGAAATTGGCTCAGTGGTTCTGAAGAAGAAGCTGAAAATATAAGTTCCTTTTGGATTTTGTTGATGACCAATTACAAGTACGAAAATTTCTGAATTTCGATTTTATTGAAGAAGCAGTTGTCTATGATATCAAAAAGTCTAGTTTTCGATCTATCATGAGGAATGGTTTTATAATAGGTATAGTAAAGTCGTACGTTCTGATGTTATTTACGTTAGAAAAAAATGGTTTTTAAGTTTTCTAAAAGCTCTTTAGAGTTTTTGAGGATCCACATCTGATTTACACCACTTCTAGAATATGCAGGAGCACAGTACGCTTTACAACAGTTAATACTTTTGCTAGGAGTAAAGATAGGGGCTTGGTAGAACATTTTCTAGATCTAGCAATATACATGTATCTTTTTTGTAAGAATTTTTATGAAGTTAAGAAATTCAGTACAGGTAGGGTAGACTAAATTCACCTTGTTTGACTGTGCAGAATGTTAAAAGTATATTAATTAATCACTGAAATGTGATTTTGAAGAATTTCATCCTTGGAAAGTGAAATGTGAGTATATGTAGGATTTCCACACGTCGAACTAAAACAAAGTTCATCCAAAATATAGTTATAATAATGAGTCTTACAAATAATCAAAGACAAATAGTTACAAGCCTTGTCTGCTGGAACCATGACATATTTTTCATGTAGTCTAATTCTTTTTTCATCTCCGATTTAATGAAGACGGAAGGAAGTAGGACTGGGTATCGGCTGGAAATTTCGTAATGCAATATTTTGCGATATTTTTAACTGTATTGCGATATGTATTGCAATATGTTCATTGTCAGTTAAAATGCTCTTTTTCTTATTTTATCAACTTCCATCTTTAAGAAACGGGTGTAAAACTATATGATACATTGTTAAAAAAATTTTGTTGTTGATTTCACTACAGTTTTGGAACTAAATGCAACCATACAACAGCAACCTTACCGTTTGGCACGATTGAAAACTTTCTGACATGTTGAATTTCATATTTTACTTAAGAAATCTAAGGCCCAAGCAGTTTGCCAGTATATCGGTACTGGAAAAACGTATTGCAATACTAAAATTTTTGTTACTGGATCGCAATAAACCGGAATATCGATATTATTGCGCAGCCCTAGAAGGAAGGAGGTTTTGCATTTTGAATTTAAATTTTCTAATATCATTCTTTAATATTTCTAAAACACTTCATCTATTCTGACAAAGTGTTTAAGTCTTCCAGTTCATATTTAGCCCAACGTTTGGCATAATCTGCGACAGAATTCATATAATAGAAATGAAGTTCTGCCGCCAATTGATAGATCGAGGCTCATTGTATTTAGGACCTTGTACATGTAAGTTTATTGCTTTTAAAACATGATTGTGACGTAAACCTTCTGTTTGTGTTGTCCATTCTATAGCATAATGTTGAGCTAACTCCTCAAACAATCCATTTAGTTACCTGTAAGTGTCCATTCTTTTTAGAAAACTGTCCATTCTTTTAAGAATGGACAGTTTTTTTCAAAAAGAATGGACAGTTAAAACAAACAGAATGGAGAGTTACAGGTAAACCTTGGAATGTGTTCAAGAGGGAAACAAAAACAAATACATTATTCTCTTTAATTTACATGTAAATAACAAAAAGAACGCGGGGATCTAAGTTAATCCAGAACACAATGTCTGCACAGCATCCACTCAATTTTACTCTTTTAAATCGATGAATAATGTACATTATTTCAATCCTCAAAACTTAATTTCCACAAAACTTGAATTCAAATAACACAATTTCACATTTGATTAAAATTTCGGAAAAATCAATCCTCTACCCAGAAAACAGTTTGCACCATGAACACTACATTGCTGCAGGTAATATTTCGGTAGAAAATGAAACATTTCAAGATTTGATTTGAAAAACATTTTCAGGTCGAAGATTGGCTCATGGCTAATCCAACACTCAGAACACAATTTGCATCTTACCATTACACTGCTGCAGTCAATATATCCTCAAAAATAGAATACAAATAAAACATTTCCAGGTTTGATTCGAATTTGATCATCTGTATCTATCGTCGAAGTTCATTTTTGGGTCAAAAGTTGGCTAATATTTCTTTTACTCTAACTTACTTTTCTGTTTCCAGATCCAAATATCACTATAATTTTGTGTATATTTTGGTTTATTAGATGTTGATTCTGTCATATACTCTCCATCACAGGAAAACATGTATGCCTTTATAACGCAAACTGTAAACTGATTTTGAAGCATGACCGTATAAATACTAGTATCCCACAAAATCCACCTGTAACTGTCCATTCTTAAGACAAAGACCTTTTGTTATTTGCATCTGGAAAGACAATGGCTATTCAAAAAATTGCTCTGCATCCCTAGCTTACCTGTGACTGTCCATTCCGTAAACAATGAACTTGTTATTGTATGTATGCTACCTGTCATATCTGATACCAATTTTGTACTTTATTTAATTTTCAGAACAAAGGAAATCATGTTTTAAGTAGGAGAAAGGCCTCAAACTGCGACCCTCGATTAGTTCTTTCTCTCACAGAAAGGACAGTTTTCGGCCTTTCTCCTTTACGTAGATCTTTATTATCAACTATATTAACATCACCAGTAATGACGTGTCCAACTGAACTGTAGTTGAAAGAAGAAGAAGAGCATAAAAAAAAAAACAACAAACAAACAAAACAAAAAAACAAACAAACAAAAAACAAACAAACAAACAAAAAAAAAAAAAAAAAAAAAACAAAAACAAATTAAGAGTACTTTGCTTTAGATGTTCAATATCTAGGCACTGTAGGGTTTGTCTATATTTGAAAAGTTTGAAAGAAATATAGGAGAAACTACTTGAAATGCCTAAAGGTATATTTCACTAAAGAACAAGCTATATTAAGCATCAAAATCGACTTTGTCCCAAAATTTGATGAATTTCTTTTTATTAAAAAAAAAAAAAAAAAAAAAAAAAAAAAAAAAAAAAAAAAAAAACATGTCTCTACTATCCTCATTCTAATTCAAATTATATTTTTTTAATACCTTGATAGGTATTCGTCAATTAATTTCGGACTAAAAAAAAGCGTCTCTTTTCTACGCATTTATTTGGGAAGGAAATTTTGATATTTTCACAATTGCAAAACTCGGATGTAAATTTAAAAAAAAAAAAAAAAAAAAAAAAAAAAATTGTCTCACAAGTCAATTCTATATCCAATAAAAAATATTGAATATTCCGTTTAATACATTTTCTTTGTTTTTACCTATGCCTCTGTCCTTTTGTAACACAATATCATAGACTGGAGCGGCGTAGTTTAGCGGCTGAGATATCATAGCAAAGCTAAGCGATTGCAAGATTAAAACATTCTAAACATGGATTTCAACAACATTTTTTAGACGCTTTCGCAGTCTTAGTCTTTGTTAGGATGATTTGTTTACTTTCTCTATTTTGTAACAGACCAGGAAGTACTTCGTGATGGGAAGGAAAATCGAGAGATTTTCCAAACTTCCGATATTCTCCGACACTGTGACAGAATTTCATTTTGATACATTTATCATTTCAAACTGTGACAAGATATCACTTTTATTCAATAAATAAGTTACAGTATTTCACTTTCGGAAATGTAATAAATACAAATATGCATTTCAAGTAAACTATTACATATAATGCTATCAAGAAAACGATGAATGAAATTATTATAGCATATAGCATTCAATAACTGTAATTGAAGATAATCAGTAAAGAGATTACCTACTTATAAATATGCATTTTCAGCACAATATCAAAGTTTTTAAAACAGACAAAATCAACACATAGATGACGATATTTCAATTAAGAAATAAATAACAAGTTTAAAAACTTCTCTGGGAAATGAAGTGGGTCGGTCACGTGATCAAATCCTGTGAAGGCCGATTTACTCTTTCCTCGCCTTTACAGTTTGAAAATTCCTAAATCCGCCAAATTTTGTTATTATTGTAAGAACTACGCACGCTAACTCTCGATTCCGCCTACAATTTCCATCTCTCCTGTTTTCCCAAATAAGTTATGTTTTACATGTGTGGATCTAGGGGGGGGGGGGGGATCGGGGGGTCCGGACCCCCCTCCCCCGGCATATGTAGAGTTATTTAATGCATATACTAAACCAACTAAAAGTGACCTTGGACCCCCCCCCCCCCCCAGGAAACGCGGGTCCGTGTTAAGTTGGTATGAGAAGTCATAGATGAAGATATGAAGCATAAGAAGCCACA